ACATTACACCGAGCGTTAATAAAACGTTGAAAAAGTGTTTCTTACGTTTGGTTGCATCGTTTATCCCAGCTTTATCGGTGTTTTGTTGTTCGATGTACAGTTACATAATATTCAAAGAATTCTCGATACGTTTAATGCTGCGTGTGGCATTGTTCTATTACCTCTTCGACTCATGCGAATATTAGCCTTCTGATGATTCATAAAATTGTAATCTTGTTAGGTGTACACCAGTGAACGTGTAGATGTTTGTTCACCTCCTCGTGCCTCCTGAGAAATCCAACGAAACACTGCATTCCCTTCTATGCTGAAAAATTCTATGGAAAGAATTCCAGCGCCAACCGCACGTGGTCGTTCTGTCAATAATCGACCCGTTTAAATTTATGAGTTTTCATTTAATAAAATCTTTCTATTTTTACACTGATGATAATGTCGATGTGAAAATATTGTTAGGGCGAATATAATAATATTCTGAGGGGTATTTATAAATCATAAACAAATAGTATTATCGATTAGCTTTCTTAATATGAGTTTTTTTAATGCAATATAAAAAGTAGTATGATATTAATTATTGATAGCGAAAAAATACATAGATATGTAAACTTTGCATGTTTTCTCTGTTATTAAGATTTTTCTGTTAGTAACTAGTATTATGTATTATACTATGTTTGTAGTTATGATAAAAAAAATGTCTATTGAAAAGGACATTCTGCAATGGTAATTTAAAAATATTCTTTAAAATATTATGTTCACACTGGTATAATTTTTGTGTTATTATTGTTGTCGTAAGTGTATAAATCGAAGAAGTTCTATTAAATATAATTCAGATATTTAAACGAATTTATTACTAATAGAATGGCCACGTGTTTAGTGGTGCTGCAATTTATATCATAGAGCCACGTGTCATGGAAAGAAATATTACTTCTTATAGCCTTCTTTCAGATGCAAAAATAGTGTTTAAGCATCATAGTTTGTTCAACTCTGTATATTTCGTAAATGATATGAATTTTTTGTGGATATTATGATGTATTTAGCGATTATTTGTTGAAACAATTCACATGGATTGGTGCTCATTGACCACTGTACTGACTTACTAATCAAAATAAGCAAAGATTTAAAATAATTATTAAAATGTAGAGTTGAGTTTTACTATATAATTAACCTAGTTGAGTTACCAATAAATTTGAAATTTGATTTTATTTTATTTTACTTTATGTAAATACAGAAATTTTTAAGTTTTACTTCTAATTTACATGTTGGTTGACAGTATAAAAACAAATATCTGAAGCCAAGTTCACGCGATAACGGAATGGTATTTCATATTCGCAATTCTGTAGTATTTATAATCACAAATTAATTGTTTATGGACTATATGATAAATAGATTACCTATAAAAATTGTTGTGGAAAGCTCCATAATTTTTAAAAATTTAATTTAATTTGACTGAAATTAAAATATGGAAGTTTGTTATTAGTTTTATAATCACTAGCAACGTCAGATGGCGAAGTAAACGTAAAGCTCTCAGGAATGTGAACATTATTCGCAGATTAGTATTTTTAAGACATGACAAATGTAACAGCGCGTGTATAATAAAAAATTATTAAAAACAAAGTGAGTGCGTTTAAGAGTAATAAATAAGAATTATTTTAATACTAAATAAAATGGATATCGCCAAATCACTATTTAATGTTCGTGATCATGAAGGTTATGTTGGGAAAGAAGATCATAATGTAAGTATATTTTTCTGTTTATTTAAAATATATTTATAATTTAGAGAGATCTTTAACAAATAAAACTTGTATTTATGTGTATAACAAGTTTTATGAAACATTTTATTTTTGTGAATTTTATGGAACTTGATACTATTTATTCGAATTTGTTTATTCTTCCACATTTTAGAAAAAACTTGAAACAGCTGTATCCGAGGATGAATTTGAAGTGGAAGTTTCAGGCTTATGTGGAGAAGTTTTGTCTCCTGCTCCTGGCGGTCCATTTTCTGCTTTGACACCGTCCATGTGGCCCCAAAATATTTTAGCTAAATTAAATCAGCCAGACGATCCTAATTCGCAACCTGAATACAGGTATATTTTTAAAATTAGATTTTATAAGGTGTCTTTACAATTAAGATTAATACATGCATAATATAATATGTCAGATTTGACGAATTTGGTTTTCGAGTTGAAGAAGAAGATGGACCAGAACAGAGTTCAAAAAAATTGTTAGGTATTCCGTTCGTTGAAGATCCACAGCATAGGTATAGAGATAATTGATACTTTACATTAATACTTTGATTATATATCAAGAAATATTAACAATTATAATACATTTAGATTACAGTGGGTTGCTTTATTGGAATTTAGTCATAATAAAGAAGTAACGGAACTTTCATGGCAGAATTTGGATAGAAGATTACCTCGCACAGATAAATTACGTGACATGGTCCGTCATGGTATACCTCATTCACTGAGACCCCAAATTTGGATGAGAATGTCAGGTATAATGCATATCATAAAATAACAATTCAGTACTCAGATATTTAAATGAGTTGATTGTAACGTTAATTTATTTTTATAGGTGCACTACAAAAAAAGAGTTCTTCTGAAATAATGTACAAAGATATTGTAAAAGCATCAAGTAATGATGCATTGATGACTAACAAACAAATAGAAAAGGATTTACTTCGTATTATGCCTGCCAATGCATGTTTTAGCCATCTTCATAGTACTGGTATACCACGGTTAAGACGTGTTATGCGTGCTCTTGCTTGGTTATATCCTGAGATTGGGTAAAAATGACTTTCAAGAATTACTACTTTAGTATTCTTACTGTGTAATACTATTATTATATATTCTGTAAAGGTATTGTCAGGGTACTGGAACAATAGCTGCATCTCTCTTATTGCTTTTGGAGGAAGAAGATGCTTTTTTAATGATGGCAACCATAGTAGAAGATTTACTACCAGCATCCTATTATTCTTCAACTTTGTTGGGTAATATAAATTGCAGTAAATGTTAACAAACAAAAGGTAACTAATTTTATTTTTAAATATATTTCAATTATTTAACAGGTATTCAAGCTGACCAAAGAGTGCTTCGTACATTAGTAGCTAATTACCTTCCTGATATAGACCATGTTTTAGTACAACACGATATAGAATTGAGTTTAATATCCTTACACTGGTTCTTGACCTTATTCGCCTCTGTTGTACATATGAAAATATTATTGCGAATATGGGATATGTTTCTTTTCGATGGATCTATAGTTTTATTTCAAGTTACACTTGGAATGTTAAAAATAAAAGGTATGTATTTATATTGTACAAATAATAGAATATTTTTACAAGGTATTTCAATAAAAGAAATTTCATTAATTATTTTTATACTATATTCATTAAATACTTTTACAACAGTTCAATAAGTAATATTTAACGCATTAAATACGAATTTCATTGTAATACACTATATAACATTTATGTTATTTAATATTTTTACAGAATCTGAGTTAAAGAAGTTGGAAAATTCTGCTCAAATATTTAATGCTCTCTCAGACATACCAGGAGACATTGATGATGTAGAACAATTATTTAATGTAAAATACTTTTTTAAGTAGACATTTCTTTACAGGAAAGTAAAAGTTATTAGTATTATTATTGTTGTAGGTATCTTTAGAAGTAAGTGGATCATTAACAGACGTTCTAGTTGAAACTCATAGACGTAGACATTTAGCATATTTAATGGCTGATCAGGGCGGATTGGTAGGCAATCCTGATGCAGTACCAAATTTACCAAAGCAACATCTTAATAGGTATACAATTTATGACTAAATTATTTATTAAAAATATGCGGTTTAATGAAAATTGTAATTATTTTATAAAAATTATTTACACTTTCGCGAAGGCGTCAAATGAAGAGAAATAAGTCAATGTTACAAACATTTTTATTTGGGAATTACGATAATGAAGACGATGCAAAATCGAAAAACATTCGTCAAACAGGTATTTAAAGCATATAGCGTTTACTAATGTATATTGTTGTAAAAAGAAAATAATAACAGTTACATTCCAGAAATATTGGTGGATTTAAGAGAGGCTGTTTTACAAGTCGCTAGACATTTTATAAATGTTGATCCAAAATTGAGTAACACTGTAATTATTGCAGATTATACTATGGAAAGTCATGCAAAGGATCATGACAATTATGTTAATGTATCACGCACTAGAAAAAGAAGAGCTAAGGCATTATTAGGTACTTTAATATGATTTAGATAATTTATTTTATCAGATTTATAATTACTATTAATATGTTATTTTATTACAGATTTTGAAAGACACGATGATGACGAATTGGGTTTTCGAAAAAACGATATAATCACAATTTTAAGTCAAAAAGATGAACATTGTTGGGTGGGAGAATTAAACGGATTAAGGGGTTGGTTTCCTGCAAAATTCGTAGAATTATTAGACGAAAGAAGTAAACAATATACATGTGCCGGAGATGATGCAGTTAGTGAAGCTGTTACTGATTTAGTCAGGGGTACTTTATGTCCCGCGATAAAGGCTGTATTGGAACATGGAATGCGTAGACCATCATTTTTAGGTGGTCCATGCCATCCATGGCTTTTCATAGAAGAAGCATCAAACAGAGAAGTAGAGAAAGATTTCAATTCTGTTTATAGCAGATTAGTACTTTGTAAAACATATAGATTAGATGAAGATGGTAAAGTACTTACACCAGAAGAGGTAATAGTATTTATTCATTTATATTACGTTGATAATATTACGTTAAAGTATATTTTTTTTTTAAATTTGTATAAAAATTTGTTTCAGTTGTTATATCGATGTGTACAATCAGTAAACTTAACACATGACAATGCACATGCACAAATGGATGTAAAATTACGATCTCTCATCTGCCTAGGATTAAATGAACAGGTCTTACATTTATGGCTCGAAGTTTTATGTTCCTGTGTAGAAATTGTACAAAAATGGTAACAAGCATTACATGAAAACTATATATGGTTTAAACATTAAATTTGCTTTAAACATTATTCGTTTTTAAGGTACCAACCATGGAGTTTCATCAATAGCCCTGGATGGGTACAAATTAAATGTGAACTAAGAATATTAAGTCAATTTGCATTTAATTTAAATCCAGATTGGGAATTACCAGCAAAGAAAGAACAATCGCAACCATTGAAAGATGGTGTTCGGGATATGTTAGTCAAACATCATTTATTTAGTTGGGATCTTTAGCTAATGACATAAGAAGTATTAATTGTTTATGGTAAGGTAATTGTGTAGTACAAATAAACTTACTATTATATATATTAATAATAATAAAATGTATACTGCGTGCGTGTGCGAGTGTATGTACATGTTATAAAAATATAATAGTAACATACTATTTTTATGTATTACATATAAATTATTTGACTTTTGTCATTCATCACGAATAATATAAGTTTAGTTATCAAAATTATAATCAAATTAATTAATTGGGAACTACTTATGTATAAACTACACACACACACACACACACACACACACACACACACACACCCACACACCCACCCACCATTATGTATTACTGTAAATTCTATATGGGAAAAGAAAACAAAATTGTTAAGAAGATGAATTTATCAGATGTTTAGTAACTTATATGATTATTTCTAAGTTTAATATTGTATAAAAAGTTTAAACAATAATTTTGACGGATATATTGACTTTTTAATGTATAAAATTTTGATTGTTACATATATAATAATATATATTTAATTGATTTGATTAATAGAATATTAACAATTGTTTCATTGTTTTTTAAACAAAAATGTCATATTTGAAGATTCTTATCCTTTAACACATTTTTTAAAGGAAATTTCCTATCTTTGCGACAACATGGATCTACCAGATTGTCATCAATAATTTTTATATTAGGGTATTCTGCCTCGTCACTGGCAAGGAACGATGATGCAGGTAAATAAGAACCCCAATCAAAAGTTTTTGATATTTGCATCTGTCTGTACTTTTCAATAGTTGAAGGATCAATATGTAAATCATGATCATCTAAACTGTTTTCAGTTAGCTCTTTACCAAGAAAATCTAGTTTACATTCGCATTTTCGTTTTTTAATATAAACAAAATGTAAGTCCATGACATTAGTACCAGTAAAGCCAGGTTTCAATAGTTCTGAACCTTTTTTGAATCGCGAGTATAAATTATACGAGTCATTATTACTTAAAGTATTCTCTGGAAGTAAGCGTTCCACTTCCATAGTTCGATATATTAATGGAAGTACACCTTCCATTTTATTAAATTCACTTCTTTCAATTTTTTTCTCTTGTTTTTCAAATTCTGACTTTTCCTCTTTTTTAACAAGAAACCCACTCAATTCATGCAACTTGCATATTTCTTGAGATCTTAAATCATTTAATGTTTCTTGTTCATCTTCTTTATTTTCTATGGCCTCTTTCTTCGTCTGTAGATGAACAAGCATTTCTGAAGCTATTAATTTTACTTTTGCATACAAATCATGAATTATTGGTCCAATAGCAGGATAACCGAATGCTCCTGCTGCATCAGTTGGACCATCTTGACCATCCGTTCCTGCACTTAACATTATTACATCATATTCAGCAAAGTGGGGATTATTTTTTATTTTGGCTAACCAATCTAAGGAAAAATGTAAAGCTAATTCTTGATTTCTACCACCCTTGCCATCTCCTTTAACTATGACTGTTGGTTCTCCTCCTCCAATTAATACTATTCCTTCTTCACTTATATTTTCAATTAAGTTATAAATTTCGTCCACTTTAGTGGTAGATAACGACATCACAGGAATATCTCTTACTTTTTCAAAGAATTCTCCTCTTTCTAATTTTTTTTCCAATGCGAGACATATTAAACTAGTTACATGAACATATGCTAAACTGACATCATGGACATTGCCAGTAATATCAGTTCTCAATGTTATTGGAGTAAGTTTCTTACGTTGTGCTTCAAGGGCAGCTGCTTCAACTGCCACCTGATTATTTCCTAAAATAATATTTGTAACATGCTTAAACTCTTTTTTTTTCTTCTTTCCAGTTAGTAATGACTTATCTTTGAAAGTTTCTTTAGACATGATAGCTTTTCTTACATCTCCATCTAATTTGTCAAATAAGTCATATTTTTTTAAAATAGCTATAGCTTGCTTTGGTACTTTGCTATTATATACTGTTGGACCGCTGGCAATTAAATCGACAGGATCACCCACAATATCAGATAATATTAAAGTAATAATGGATGCTGGAAAAGCCATTCGTGCTAAACCACCACCTTTGACCATGGATAATTTCATTCTGACCGTGTTAAGTTCTTTGATATCAGCACCTGCATTTTGAAGCCTTTTACATAGTAGTAATTTATCTTCGTTATCGATTATTGGTCTTGGCATATAAAGTAATGCAGAACCACCGCCAGATATTAACACGATTAAAGTATCATTTTCGGTCAAAGACTCTACTAAATCAATAATATCATGGGTTGTTTGTAACGATCTATTGTCTGGTTGATTATTTATACTTCCTTCGCGGTATTCTACTACACCAGTTTTTAACATGGGAAAATAAGATTTATCTTTGGACTCCCATATTGCATTTGTTGAAACAGAAGGAATACTAACTATTCCCTTTTTTAAATGACTACCAAGCATTTGTTCAAGAACTATGGACATACCCATGACAGCTTTGCCAAAACCAACAAGATACACATTTTCTTTTAATTGAAATCTTTGATCATCAACTTGTAATGTTCCATCTTTAAATTTAATTTTATTAATTATAAGTTGCTTCGGTGAAACTACTTTAACACCAGCAAAGTACATATCTTTTAAAATAGATTTAGATTCTTCTAAAACTTTTGGATTTGTAGACATAATTGTACTCGTATATTTTACAATATTTAGTAGGTTAGACTTAAAAAGAACTGGACTACTGAAAAGATGTTATTAAGTCATTGATGATACACAATGTAACAGTAAAATAATTGCGTTGTTAAAAATTACTAAAACACTTGCCTGTAGCGTGTGAATTTATGTAATAATCTATAATGCATTCTGAAATCATAAGCACACTTTATCTACATACACATTCTTATCGAATAAGACTTATTAGACATAATTTAATTATCGATAAAATCATATTACATAGAACCTTTAAACATTCAAATCTTAGATAAGTACGTGTTCTGGATTTTTAAAATAAATACTAACACAAAAAATTCGTACTACTAGTAACAAATTTTTATTAATATTTATTGTTGTAAATTGTTTCAAAATGGTGACTTACGTTTAGACGAGTTATTATACATTTCCGAAGTACACGTACATTATAAATAAACACAAAAACACTCACTTAATTGAAATTCGGACACAAACGAAAATTTGCGCATTCACATCGCGACAGTTTTATTCATGCAATGTCATCTCTCTCACAATCATTGAGAATTAAAGCAAGATTTAAGATTTTTAATAAGAACCGAGACACTTCTGTATTGCATTCTTATTGCTGGTATTTAATCTGATTTGACTGTACAAATGCATACAGCGCCTACATTTAAACAACGAAAATAGCGTTTATTTATATGATAGAAATACAGTATTTGTCAATTTGTAAAAATAAATATTTTGATGCTTATATTTAGTATGCTACCAGAAGCTACGCGACAACAGAAAACTTCTGTAAACTTTTGAGCTCAAAGCTTAAGGAAATCTGATAAAGTTCTGTAGCTACTGCAAACAAGATATACAAATAGACTTAAAACCAATGTAAAATTTTGTTACACACTTTCGGAGGTCCTGGGACACAACTCAGACTCCCTTATCATTTTTGTGTCACACCCTGTCATATCGACTTACACTGGTATTGCACGATAACGTTGTAAATGATAGGAATTAAAATAAAAAATATTGATTCGCAGATTTAAGATACGTACAAACGTTGCAGTTTATGGGAATTTTTGTCTAGGGTTCAGGAGTCTCGAGACACAGGTCTGTTAATGCGTCGGGGCATTTTTTTGACGGTATTTATCGGTATTTCAAAATAGTAGACAGAAAAATGACAGATTTTTCCGACTTCAATCATCGAATCGAATATATTTCTTACACTCATCACCCTAATTCATAGAGGGCCTAACAAAACATACACTTTTTTTGTACGATCGGTATTTTAAACCATCAAACACAAAATCTCATAAAATATTCACTCTATTCTATCTCTCGTCTGTGGTTATACGTTCTGACACTGCTTTATCAACATTACATAACGATGGTAAATCACATTGTTACATGAATTAATGAAGTAATTCGCTGATTCGTCTCACTAGCGACACTGTAGTTTACTTCAAATTTAGCGCCATTTGACAAAGTTACATTCTTGCATTCCTATAATCAATTTCAGGTTATATTTTATAGAGTTATAATAAAACATGGATAGTTGGCCGATTTTGCATTTTTAACTATGTTCACAAACTATTCTCAAATAATGGGTTGAATCGTTCCTATAAAAATGTGACAGTGGTGAAATATACATTTATATTAAAATATAGGTTAAGATTTTCCTGTAATATTAAATCCTTTTTGAATAACGTGAGAATACAAAGAATCACTTGGAAAAATGAGCAAACTATGGAACTATCTAATATTTCAAGGATGGATATCGTACTTAATGGCAGCTGGTTTGCTTGTCTTCACAAGCGGCTTCCTACTTAATCGTGTCTCCAGGCCGGAACGCGCTGAATGTAAATATTGCACAGATCCTGGAGGTTGTAATGTTAAAAACCTTCTTCAAGATCCTGTTGCTGCAGCGAGTACCTGCCTAGAAAGAAAAGCACGGGTAGTGTTGCTAGTCGTTGATGCTTTAAGATATGATTTTGTTCATTGGTACAATGACAATAGTTCTACCCCAACATATTATCGCAATAAACTACCGATAATACACAAATTATTGCAAACTGAACCTAAGAAATCTCGGTTATATAAATTCATAGCAGATCCTCCAACAACAACCATGCAACGATTAAAAGGTTTTACTACTGGATCTTTGCCTACATTTATCGATATTGGATCTAACTTTGCTTCTGAAAAAATAGATGAAGATAATATTGTTGATCAGAATATTGACAGAGGTATTATATTCATGGGTGACGATACTTGGACAAATTTATTTCCTGGAAAATTCAAACGTCAATTTCCATCGCCATCTTTAAATGTATGGGATCTGGACAGTGTGGATAAAGATGTTAGGTACCGCATATTCTTTGAATTAAAGAAGAAAGATTGGTCCCTTCTTATAGCACATGTACTTGGAATTGATCATTGTGGACATAAACATGGTCCGAATCATCCTGAGATGACTAGAAAATTAAATGATACTAATACTCTTATTCAAGAAATCATTGAATCTTTGGAAGAAGATACAATTCTCTTTGTTGTTGGTGATCATGGAATGACACAAACTGGAGATCATGGCGGTGAGAGTTTAAATGAAATTGAAGCTGCCATGTTTGTTTACTCATTGGTTCCTTTACAAGATTATAATTCAGTTCATAACACTGTGAATCAGATTGATCTTGTTCCTACATTGTCATCAATCCTGGGAACACCTATACCATTCTCTAATTTGGGATCTATAGTACTAGACTCTTTACCAAGTTCATCAAGAAAAAGAAACTTACAAGACGATATGTGGTATTCATTACATTCAGTATGGAGAAATATTGTACAGACTAAAAAATATGTGGATGCATATTCTACGGACACTTATTTGTTTTCTAAAGAACAATTTCAAAATTTAGAAATCATCTATAATCATCTGTTCGAACAGATGAAACATATAAATACCAGAGAAGAATATGAATTATTTATTCAAAATAGCAAAAATTATTTTAAGTTGCTTAAAGATATGTGTTCCGAAGTTTGGGTTCAATTTGATTCTAGCCTAATGTCAAAAGGCTTACTTCTAATGTTTTGTACCTTATTCTTCTTTTACCTGTTTATTACAGGTATTCCAGAAAGTCGTATGTCTAAGATATTTCAATCGTCGTATTTACAATGTTCTGTTCTAGTAAACTTAATTACTGCATTAATAATCTTCTTCTTATATTTCCTTGACATTCTAAGTGAATTTAAAAATACTACATTTTTTACTACTGGTTTAGTATCTATAGTATTATTAGTTATATTGATTGCTAAAAATTGGGATGTAATTTCAATGAAATGGTATGATTACTGTAAGATTAAAAGATTTATTTATATTATTAGAGTAATACTCCTTTTAACTGTGTGTAGTCTTTTTTCTAATAGTTATATTGTTGAGGAAGATAATGTACTATCCTTTTTACTTGTTACACTTCTCTGGCTACTTACATTTAACTTAAAACAAGAAAGTTTTAATGAATATTCCGAACGGAAAGCAAAACCTTTTGTGAAAACATGCGCAAAGTCAAATTTAAAGATTGTTATAATAGTTATTGGTTTAATAGCATGCATTTCTGTAAGACTATCCCATTATTTCTGGCGTTGTCGAGAAGAGCAGCAACAAAGCATGTGTTCATTTTTTATAACTGGTAAAATGAACTCTGTAACATCAAACAATTTAGAGCGTGTGTTACTTGCTGTTACGTTAATTGTACTGGCACTGTATGTCACAATAGTAAGACTGTGGTTACAGAATTGTGGGAATCTTACTGGTTTTTCGCCCAGTGTTTTAGTAGGACAATATTGTCCTGTTGTAATTGGTGTTTGCATGGGTTGTTATTGGGTCCTTCAACGATTACCAAAATTTGTCAAAGTAAAGTTTGCACTATCATGGCAAGTAAGTACATTGCCTAACATAGTGTATGCATTGAGTTTAATTGCAATCTCTGTTCTTTACTATCGTCCTCTCAGCATATTTTTATTACCAAAAAAGAAAGAATCGATAAATATATACAGTGATGAGAATATAGTACCACGATTATTTGAGAAGATAAAGGAGTCAATATACCGTAAGAGGATAGATGCAGATGAAACACCAGTTGTTTATGGTTTAGGAACTGCCTATAGTGCTGCATTTATTTCACTGAGCGTATTTCTTATGCTATTATATTCTTTATTGTTAGGAGATGTATTATCACCTAGTACATTTTTAATGTTCTTGTCCTGTGCCTCTGTTTTGGGCTTGTCTGCGATAGAAAGATACAAGAATGCTAATAGTATATGTAAGTACTTGGAATATGTAGATGATTGGAAATTAATTCGTATTGTACCCTATAAATTAAAAATTGCTGTTTTAAAAACAGCTGAACTTGTAGAAGTACCCACTTCTGCCCTAGTATGTTGGTTCTTGATAGCTGAATATTTCTTTTATGGAACTGGACATCAGTCAACTTTTTCTACTATTCATTGGGATGCTGCTTTTGTAGGAACAGGTGGACATTTCTATGGAAATTTTATACCAGCAATTTTAATAGGTATGACCAATTATATTCACGTTAGTAGCAAAATACTTTAAATCAGTAATTGATATTAAAATTATAGGAATAAACACATTTGGATCGCATATCATATTAGGTGCAACATTACCATTGCTAGTAATCGTACCATTTACATTATATCTCGTATTTCCAAAATTGGTGAAAGCAAAGTTTTCGGAAGATGACTTAAAGAGAGGAGAACTGCTTTTGTTCGAACAGGACTCAGTATTTCATACTGCAGTTTTTTCTGTTGCAGGGAAATATGTACTCCTGCATGGAATCCGAGTAAGTTTGTAGAATTATAAAATAATAGGTATAAAAATAGATTTTTAAAATTATTTTATATCAATATATTTTTATAACTTAATATATATTGTAGACGTTTGGCATCATGCTTGCTGCGACGATTCACTGTCGGCATTTAATGGTTTGGAAGATCTTCGCGCCAAAGTTAATATTCGAGGGTTTAGGATTGTTAGTAACGTTAAGCAGCGTAATGGCGTCCTTTTATATGGTATTCAGAATCGATCAACGAATGGAACATCTTATATCCAAAATGACGAAAGGCAGATGATACAGTGATTCATTCATAATACAAACAATATCGCTAGTAAAGTATCAAAGTTTTGAGAAAAAAATAACTTTAATCTTAAAATACACACAGTGACTCCTATCTATAAAAATTAAAGTTTTCATTAAATAAAGATATATAGGCGTTCAACGTCAGTACTTACCAACACTGCCAAAGTTTCCAAAATTTTATATGACTTTACATAAATAAAAGTTAAAGGTATCTAGCACGAAAATTGAACTGAAGTTTCTAGCACAGAAAAGTGACAAACATTTTCCCTTTATTTCTTCAAAAACCAAATCGTGTAATTAATTCTGGTGCTTCCTAACACACTAACACTACCCTGCGTGCAATGCATTGCTAATTGCAGAGAAACAAAGCAACGCACTTGATGCAGGATTGCGTCCATGTGCGCTAACATCTGCTTGTTTGATGTATGTATTATTTTATTATTTTATATTCGTTAACGTTAAATGCATTTGGATGAATCATTTTTTATACATTTCTTTTTCATTCATTATATGCGATACTGTATATAGCATGTATTATAAGACCAACAAAAAATTTAATAAAAAGACATTGTATATCTTCCAGATACGTTTCTTTTTATGCGTTATATGCGTTATAAAATAGTAAGACTTGCAAGCAGTAGTGTATTACACTAATACATGCTTATCCATACTTTATATGTTTTGCAAATCACACTTTATTGAAAAAAATTGTCAAGCGTACACGTTATATATTTTATGTGAATACGATCAATTTAAAGATAAAAGTTGATAATTACAAGTAATGGATGTATTCCTGCTGGAACAATAACGCCTAGTGGTGTTTATGATGCCTATGTCCTTGATAATCACTTCTCAGATAATCCATCCAGTTGGTCCATTTGTTGGGTTCCTCATAATTGTTGATATCCTGTGACAAATGAACAAGTTCATGGTATTCGAAGTATACAATTTACACGTACCTAGCTTTCATAATTATTATTTTCATAGCCTGGCACTTGCATACTAGGCAATACAGGCATTTGTATCTGAAAACAAATGATGTTATCATGCTGCATAAGACCTCTTATTGCCTTCATTTATTTTATAATTATACTACGAGGAACTGTAACTTTTACTAAATTATAAATCTTATATTAATCTTTAAATGTTAGAAACTATATATTAAATATTATGATGACATTTCAATATGTATATTACATATTATAACTTACAAATAATTTAATTCCTCCGCCTTGGTGTCCAGGCATGGATCCACCTCCCGCCTGTACAGACTCTATCGAACCAGCTGGCAAACTCTGATATCCTTGATGCATTTGCATTTTAACTCCCCGCGTTTCTTGTTTATGAATCATATTTGTTTCTCCATTTATTAGTGGCTTGGAATCACTGTCAACTTCTCTTTTTTCTTCAGGATAAGATACCCAGAATGATCCTGGAGTCTTTTGCAATGTTCGGGTCATGATTGGTCCAAATTTATCAGACATTGTTGCATAAGAATTGGGCATATCATAGTCAAGTGTGCCTAATTTACTTTTGAGAGCATCTAAAAGACTTATATTGATAGGTGCACCAGACACAGCATTATCAGGCAATATTGGATTAGCACTATTTACTGATCCAGAAATACCACTTGAATTCACTTTTGTTTTTATTGCATTTTGTACAGCTAGAGTAATGTTTTTCTGTAAATCCGACAACATGTCAAATACTTGACTCAATGTTGCCATTTTTTGTTGAAAAGGTAACGTTCCATCAGTAATTGGCTTTGGCCAAATACCTGGTGCGAATGGTTTAAAAGGCTTTTTTGTTGCAGTCCCTGACACAGATTTTTCATATGTCACTAAATCATTCATAGTTGCTACCATATTACTTTTCAAATCACCCAACTCAGTCAGTATACTATCAACAATAGCGTCTTTAGCTGCATTAATAGATGATAAATCATCAATAGACCTTGCAACTTTTGTTTGCGTATCTTCTTCATCAAATTTGACAGATCTCAGAAAATCACTTTTCATGCTTGTACTATCACTGTCACTTGAAACTGCAGTTTTGTTAAGTTTCAAACTTTCAAATAATTTGTCCAAAAAATCGTTTACTTTGCTACCATATTCATCTGGACTAGGAATCATTGATGATGGAAACCAGAAGTCAGGTGGTACAATAGTACTTTTTGTTGTTGGAATTTCTGTTGAAGTGGCCGGTGTTGGTGTAGTGGTAGCAAGATTTTTAAACAAAGTATCCAGGAAAGCAGACTTCTTTGCTATGAACATGGATGGATCCATTATTGGTGCAAATGGACTGAACGGTCCAAACATCCCTGGCAAATACTGTTTTGGTGCAGTGGCACTTCCTACTTTCTGAAGCAGTAAGTTGATATCCTCTTCTGATTCTTCAGAAATTGGAGCAAGTGTAGGATATGGAGGTGGAGGTATCAAGTCCTTTGTTTCTGATTTACTGCCATCCATAATCGACCTGAGTTTTGTTAAAGAAGATTCGTCTATACTTCTTCTTTTGCGGGAGAAGTCACTTTTCATACTATAATTGGGTATAGTATTTAATTCTGAATACTGAGACATAGGATTCATTGAGCCGAATTTGGAACTCATTGGACCAAACTTAGGACTCATTGGTCCAAATGGTGTAGGAGAACTAAAGGGTCCAAATATACCACGCTTATATGGAATATTATCATCTTCTATTTTACTTTTATCTAAACTGCTCAGTGATGCTTCATTAGCTGTACCATACAAAGTTGGTCCACTTGCAACAGTATATGGCATAAATGGCTTGAAAGGTGCCATAGGATAAGTGGGTGCCATAGGATAAACAGAACCTGTAGGGTAAGCAGGTCCCAAACCTCCAAACAAATTACTTAATAGATCTGTCTTCTTTGAGATCATCATTTTAGGATCAACAAATTTAGGAAAAAGTGGAGATTTTGGCATGTACGGAACCGTTATGGTATCTATTGTTGATGGCGGTGGTCCAAGAGCTCTTGAGTAAACTATAAATGAATTATATATGTACAAAATTTATCGACTTACTATATGTGTGTTTGAAATATTACAAAATGATGAATATTTAATATATATACATATATATAGTTTTATATTACCAGGTTTTGAAGCAATATTTGTCCATACTGTTTCAGCAGGAGTTTTAACAGCTGCACCAGCTGTTAAAACTATTAAACAAGTAAATAGAGAGAAACTTTTCACTAGAAGCATTTTGCACCAAGTGTTGGATTCTGTTCTGTTCCTGCTTTTATAGCAGTATTCGGACAATAATACTTGCAAAGCTTGCAGGATTATCAGTATAGGAGTAATACCCTCATTTACATAATCCATCATATACAGAAGCTGCATTTATGTTTTAATAATTAGACAATATGCTTTCTTTATATCGCTTAAGAAAGCAATTTCCTTCTTATTTGTACCATTACATATTAACACATATTATAAATTTGAATAATTAAAAAAAAGTAATAAGTAAAGTAATAAAAATTAGTTTCTTTATTTTTACATTTATTTAAGTTGCCTATTTTATTTGCATTAACAAATATTTTAATCTTCTTTACTTTATTTTATACATATATTTTTTTGTAAATTACTTTTCACAATATTTTCTTTTATAATATGTTTATATCTAACATTTTTTATTTCTTTCATCGTTATTTCTTATCTACTGAATATGAAAGCGGATCTATTTCATAATTCAATTTGTAATCCGATTTTAATCGACTTGCAAACGAACTTGCGAGAAATACGTTATTCATTTGTCGACAATAATACATTATAGCAGCTGTTTTCATTATTTGGCAATTACCAATTAATTGTATTCACGAATATACATCCGTATTTATAAGAAAAGCTGTCACATCTTAAATACAAGGATCCATGTGAAAATGAAAATAAAAAATCCTGACAATAGTAAGTATCAGTGCATTTTAAGTATGTGATTACATCTTATCAGATATATAATATGTAGTATTT